ATCTCAGCCTAATGGGACAGCCCGGAAGTTCACATGACTACTACTGACACGTGATTAGCGTGACTGTAGGGGAAAGGCGCAACGCGCGTGTCTCTGACGTAATTTATGCGCGACTCTTGTTTTCGGTGTTGAGTTTGAGGGTTTTTCTGAACTATGCCTAAAGTTGTGTCCCGATCTGTTGTCTGCTCCGACACCCGGGACCGGGAGGAATATGACGACGGCGAGAAGCCCCTCCATGTCTACTACTGTCTGTGCGGCCAGATGGTTCTGGTGCTGGGTGGGTGGTGATGATTTTTCTTCTGGCTGTGATCTGGAGCCAAGTCTCTTTGAAGATTGGTAGGCTTTCCCTCTGCATCAAAATCTTCCCTATACATCCCCGCCCCGGAAGGCAGCTTTTCTGTGTTTTGTTTGCATCCAAACCTCCCTGAAAACTAATTACTCCTTCAGAAAAAGATACACTGTATCTTCTTCTCTCACTTCGCCGCCTGATGCAGTAATAGCTCTTATGTGAAAATGAAAATCGAACCCTTCCTTGATCCAACATTCTCCTCCAGCTATAACCCCATTTCTTTGCTTTTTTAAAATAGCAAAACTTCTAAAAAGAGTTGCTTATATTGGCTGTTTCTGCAACCTCACTTCCCACTTGACCTCACTTCAGACATCCCACCTCACCATCTAAACCATATTTGTCAAAGTTAATAAATGAACATATTACCAGTTCCAGTGGTCAGTCAACGGTCATTTTAGTCCCCATCTCAGCAGCATTGGACAGATTTGAGCACTCCATCCTTCTTGAAACACTTTATTTGCTTCCAAGACTCTACACTCTCCTGATTTTCCTCCTATCTCGATTTTTTTCCTCTTCTGAGTGTCTGGGTCCTTTTTCTGTCTCAGACTCTGGCCTTGCAAGGCCCTGGGGTTCAGTCCTCTGACCTGTTCTCAATCTGTACTCACTCCCTAAGTGATCTCAATCATTCCCAAGCTTTGAATACCATATATATGCTTATGACTCCCAAATGTTCATCTTTAACCTGCACTTCTCCTCAAACTCCACCTGCCAATTTTATGTCTCTATTTGGATGTCTAAAGAGCCTCCCAAAGATATCATTGACTTCTGATACCCTACTCCATGCTCTTCACTGTTCCCCTCAGTCTTCCTTATTGCAAATAGTGGTACCACTATTCACCCAGTATCTCAGAATCATTTTGTTGTTGTTGTTAATCCTCACCCAAGGATATTTTTCCATTGATTTTTAGAGAGTGGAAGGGAGGGGGAGAGACAGAGAGAAAGAAACATCAATGTGAGAGAGACACATGGATTGGTTGCCTTCCACATGTACCCTGACCTGGGTCAGGGATGGAGCCTGCAGCTGAGGTATGTGCCCTTGACCGGAATTGAACCTGGGACCCTTCAGTCTGCGGGTCGACTCTATCCACTGAGCCAAATTGGCTGGGACTCTTTTTTTTTTTTTATCCTCATCTGAGGATATGTTTTCATTGATTTTTAGAGAGAGAGAAAAGGGGGAAGGAGGGGCAGGAAGGAGGGAGGGGGAGAGAGAGAGAGAGAGAGAACGAACCATGGATAGGGTGGCTCCCATACATGCCCTTATGGGATCAAACCTGAAACCTTTTGGTGTGCAGGACAATGTTCCAACCAACTGAGCCACCAGGATAGGGCTCAGACTCATTCTTGAAATCTCTCTCTCTCTTTTGGCTGAGTACAGTGAACTTTATTGATGCATGATAAGGTAGGGCTCCCTAAGCCCCTCCCTTTCTTCAGGGGGTCTGGGATAGAAACTGTGGAGATCAAATATTCAATGTGTTGGGGGGTTGATTTGGGGCAAGGACTCCCCAGCAGCTGAGGGCCTCTCTGCTTTCACTGGGGCTGGTGGTCCAGGGGGCTCTTACTGCTTGGAGGCCATGTGGACCATAAGGTCCACCATTCTGTTGCTGTAGCCAAATTCATTGTCATACCAGAAAACAAGCCTGACAAAGTGGTCATTGAGGGCAGTGCTAGCACCAGCATTGAAGTTGGAGGAGTGGGTGTCACTATTAAAGTTGCAGGAGAGAGACAACCTGGTCCTCAGTATAGCCCACGATGTCCTTGAGGGGGCCCTCTGACACCTGATGATACCTTTTTTTTTATTTACAGATTTTTAAAAAATTTATTTTCCCTTTATTGATTAAGATATTACAAATGTGGCCCTGACTGGTTTGGCTCAGTAGATAGAGCACTGGCCTGTGGACTGAAAGGTTCCAGGTTCGATTCCCGTCAAGGGCACATACCTTGGTTGCAGGCACATCCCCAGTAGGAAGTGTGCAGGAGGCAGCTGATCGATGTTTCTCTCTCATCGATGTTTCTAACTCGCTATCTCTCTCCCTTCCTCTCTGTAAAAAAATCAATAAAATATATTTTAAAAAAAAGATAATAGAAATGTGTCCTTATCCCCCCAATGTCCTCTCTTCCCCCCCAATCCTGCCCTCACCCTCACCCCCTGTTGTCCACATCCATCGCTTATGCTTATATGCATGCATACAAGTCCTTTGGTTGATCTCTCCCCCTCACCCCCACCCTCCCCTACCTTCCCTCTGAGGTTTGA